CATTAGTTGAAAGGCATCTGAATACATGTGAAATATGGTCAAAAACCATACTCTCTGACCCCCAACACCCCCTCTATTTCCAACTCTCGCCTTGTATCTCATCAAGTAGAACCAGAAATCAGTATAAAGTAATTTATGCTCGTACAACCAAGTACAGGAACTCAACGATACCATATTTGGCCCGTATTCTAAGTGACAGAGACAATGTTAAGCGCGAAACCTATGACTTGCTTTGTTGTTAATAACATAATTTTAGGCTCTTTTATTTTTCTCGTATTTTGTATTCTGTAGTGAACTCCTTCTTAAACATACTTAGCTACCTAAATTATTACCATTGGCTTACTTTTTTGTACTTCACTCTATTCCTTCTTTTGTGTATCTACTGGTTCCGGCTATATTAGCACTATGAGTAGTACAAAATTGTCCTGTCATTAACCATCATGTATTATTAGTTTTTGTTGTTGTTTTTTTGTTCGGCAGTATTAACTGACAATCATTGGTTGTGAAAGCCATTATCACCATCTTAAAATTTTGTATTATGCAGGATTACTCACGCTACCACTACAAACACCTGCATTAGACCTGACAATAAAACAAAACAACAACCCTGAAATGTTATTTTATGATTGTTTAGTGTTGTTTCAACCAAATTAACTGATCATCTTGGCGATAAACATTCTTAAATATCATTTCATAACTTCTTGTATGACTACAGCTTTACTGTCACCATGCATAATCATATCATAGCTTCCACTAACCAATACTGAGATATTATTTTATGTTGTTTATTTTCCTTTCTACTTCTTGGTATTTTTTCGCACTTTGAAAAATTATTTTTGTGTTTTTTGTTCTTGTTTCCTTTATATTTATTTTTTTTGAAATGCTCCTTTTAAATGTTTGATAAAATTAGATGCAAACATTGTAGATATGTGCTGAAAATTCCACACTGTACCACTAGTACTGTTTCTAGAATAAAGCAAGTTATTATTATTATTATCATTATAAATCTGTCTCCGTAAGATCTAACTGAAAATTAAATATTTCTTTGCTCAAGGGCTTTTGTCTTCTAAATGTCTAAATGGTGATTATTTTCTCTCCTTGAATAAACTTGTTTAGTCGAATATAAAATATACCAGAAATCCTATTGAAGTGATGGTTTGCAGCAGGGATTCGATTGGTTTCAGGATTTCATGATGAACTGACACCCAGCTGGGACTACTGGATATATGGTGAACTGGAAGAAGTTAGAATTCATGGACTGGCCATTGGATCAAGTCCTAGTGGCTTAATGGTCTACGAGCTAGCTCTCCTTGTAAGTAGAAGGTCGTGGGTTCGAACCCTGGCGGTGGGTGCGTGTTGATGAAGAGTCCCAAACTAGTCTGACGAAACAGCTATCCAGTAGTTGCTGGTGATTTTCTAATGGTCCTCTAACCGATGTGAGTTCATGATGAAATTCTGGAAAATCCTATTCGTTAGAAAATCACTGTTTGAAATAAAGTGATTGTTATTATTATTATTGTTTCCTTTAATTCCTAGAGGAATATAGGGATTCAGCCACACTTCTGAATTACATTCTCTTCTCTGCCAACGTTTTCACCTGGCTCCACAGCTGCCCACATGCTTTCATCTCCTCTTCACATCACCTCCTCCTCCATGTCACCCTCGCACTGAAGACCAACTGACTCGCCGCTTCCCATTCCGTCGGGTTCCACTCGAGCAATGGCCTGGTGTGTTATCACTCACTTGATGGTTTGTTTTCTCAGAGTATGGCCACAATCCAATCCACCTCCATTTCTTCCTGCATATTTGTTGCACAATTGGTTCCTGCTGGGTTGGTTCGTTCATTGCCAGAGATCCCTGTTGCTGATCTTTTCTGGCCAGCCATCTGATCTTGAGTGGTATTGAGCGAAGACAGCTAGCTGTTGATGAAGGTCTGTAGTTTGTTCGAAGTGCCCTTCGTGACGCGGCGCAGCACCAAGTCTCTGATCCGTATAGTGAGTACCACTGACTTCAAATTGGAGTGCCGTTAATCTCCACACAGACTTGAGAGTAATGAAAGCTTGCCTTGCTTTCCCGATCCCCGTGCTTTGATATCCTCGTCAGTTCCGTCCGCCTGTAGTTGAAACGATGCTTCCCAGGTGGGTAGGTAGGTGAAGGAGGTTGCTTCTTTCAGATTTCTCCCATTTACGCTGATTGTTGTCTGTTGTTGTTGTTGCTGTTGGCCATTAAATGATGATGTTTTACTTACCTTAGGACTCGAACCAAGCACCCACGGCTTCAAACATCAAAGCGTCATCTAATCTACTCACCCAGATGTCTAGTCGTTACTATGATGTTAACATAATTGTTATATTTGAAGTGTTAGTCAGAATACCCTCACCAATCATTAGTACACAGGTATATCCAGATGATGAGTTCTAAATATAACGAAACACATTGAATTAGCTGTGTTCTTTGAACTGCCAGTTCATTGAATAGCAAAACTTTCACATTGTCCTTCTAGACAGCATCTTCAGCGCAGGTTTTAGTATAAAATAGACTTATTTAAGTTCTCCGTGAATGATGCAATTGTGTCTCCTGGTAACTACCTTCGTGACTGGTTGTCAATTCACATCTGTATTGATCATTTTTATTGACTTGGAATTTGAACTTCCTTGTCATGTGACTTATTCTTCGTTTGTTGGTAAATTTCGTCTATATTAATATGTTTTTTAACTGCTGATTGTATTTATTTGAGTACCAGGCTTCTAGGAATTCGCCGACTGCGATTTTGGTATTTCCTCTGTTTAAAATTTCTGCATTATTCCAATCATCAAACTGATGTCCATAATTATCTATATTCATTGATATGAAAGAATATATATCATGTCTTTTGACAGCTAATTTGTGTTCTTGGATTTGGATTCGAAAGGGACACCCACTTTCTTGACGGACGTAATGTTTATTGCAGTTCATATATGCAATTTATTTTGTAATTGGTATTAATTTTATCTTCTTTTTCTATTGGATCTTTCGGTTTGCACAATATCGAATGAAGTGATTGTGTTGGTTGGCTGGCTTGTGTGCTATATCTATTTCAAACGGTCTTAATATTCTAGGTGTTATTTCAGAGATATTTTTTATATATGACAGAATGAATTTTCTTGTGGTCCTTGATGTTGGCTTGTCGTTGGTGTTATGACTCGAGTTTAAACACCTTTTAATGAAACTGTGGTGGGGGATATTCATTCCTTTTTGAAGACGGTTAACAGGCAGTTTTCCTCCATCCTCTTCAACATAGGATTAGTGCTACAGTGTGTGTTTGAACTCTTTTAAACAATGTCTGAACGCAGTTTCTTTTGTGAATAATGGGGTTATTGTTATTATAGTAGAGTATTTGGTCTGTGTGTGTTGATTTTCTGTATACATGTGTATGTTAATTTCCTGTGTTAGTTCTCTTGATTTAGACGATGAAATCTTCGTAATGAAATCAACCGGCTCGACATAGAACACAACCAAATCAATATCATCCACCGGAGCTACAAATCTTTCCATTATTTCAAAACGGAACATACCTCCTTCATTCCGGTACTGGCCACTATCGACCGGATATTATTATTATTTCCTTTAATTCCTAGAGGAACATAGGGCTTCAGCCGTGCGTCTCCATTGCGTTCGGTTCTCTGCTAGAGTCTTCGCCTGGCTCCAAGTCTGACCACACGTTTTCATCTCCTCTTCACATCACCTCCTCCAAGTCACCCTTGCACTGACGACCAATTCGCCGCTTCCGTTTCGGGTTCCACTCGAGCAATGGCTTGTCTAGTGATGTCACTTGATGGTTTCCTCAGAGTATGGCCACAATCTAATCCACCTCCATTTCTTCCTGCCTATTTGTTGCACTATCGGTTCCTGGTTGGTTCGCTCCCAGAGATCTCTGTTGCTGATCTTTTCTGGTCATCTGATCTTGAGTAGTATTGAGCGAAGACAGCTGTTGATGAAGGTCTGTAGTTTGTTTGAGGTGCTCTTTATGACGCGCAGTGCAAGTCTCTGATCCGTATAGTAGCACTGACTTCACACTGGAGTTGAAAATCCAGATCTTATTTTTCATGCTGAATGCTGAGTGTTGATCTCCACACAGACTTGAGAGAAATGAAAGCTTGCTTTGCTTTCCTGATCCTCACTTTGATATCCTCATCAGCTCCGTCCGCCTGTAGTTGAAACGATGCTTCCCAGGTAGGTAGGTGGGTAGGTGAAGGAGGTTGCTTCTTTCAGATTTCTCCCATTTATGCTGATTGTTGTCTGTTGTTGTTGTTGCTCTGCTGCTGTTGGCCAGGAATCTTCATCACCTACCTCTGTTTTCTCTATGTTCACCTGAAGTCCTATCTTTGATGCTTCTTCTGCCAACTTGTTGCTTTTCATCACTTGCATATCTTTCAGTTTGTGGGAAATCAGACATATATCATCGGCGAATTCCATATCCTCCAAGTTTTTTGTGTGTTTCCATTTTATGCCTGTTTCCTCATTTCCCACTGTTTGTCGCATTATCCAGTCTACTGCAATTAGGAAAATCATTGGCGGTAGTAGGCAGCCAGCTTGTCTTACTCCCATCTTTACTTCGAAGGATTCCGTAAGTTTCCCGTTGTGGATTAATTGGCATACAGCGTTGTCGTACAACTGTTGGATGAGATGTACAGCTGTTGGCGGCACCCCGTAGTGGCGCTGTCGAATGCCTTTTCAAAGTCAATGAAGTTGAGATAGACAGGTGACTGCCATTCCAAGCTAGCTGTGTTCAATAATGATCCGTAAAGTGACGACTCGATGAATACATGACTTGTTTCTCCTGAATCCAACCTGTTCCGGTCGAAGTTTTTCATCCAGGTTAGCTTGTTTGATTCTCTCCAGGATGATACGGCTTAGTATTTTGCTTGGGATGGACCGGATACAGTTAGTATGTTTAATGTGTCGTTTACTTCCCCGTCTCATGGCAGTCTCTGGTTTTCTTTTTCTTTTTTCATTTTCAGACGCTACAGATAAATCCCTACTTAAACAAACAATCAATTCCCTTTATGCTCAACACTTCCAGCTGACCGACAACGACGATGACAATCCTGAGGAAATCAATGACTCCTATAATAACAACAATAATAATAACAGTGATAATCACAATATGATCCATAAGAAATTATTGAAAAAATCTCGAAAAGCTCGTACAGCTTTTACAGATTATCAGTTGACTGAATTGGAGCAAAGTTTTGATCGTCAAAAGTATTTAGGTGTACAAGATCGTATGGAGTTGGCAGCTAGACTGAGTCTGTCTGACAGGCAAGTGAAAACATGGTATCAGAATAGAAGGTGAGCAGTATTAGTAGTAATAGTAGTAGTAGTGGTCAATCTTTTGATCGCCTTCTTTATTCTTTTTTTTCCTAAAGTTTATTCCTTTGCTTTCCCAGTGGAATATAGGACTTCGCTCTTGAGTTTTGGAATTTCATTAGGAAAGACGTTATAGTCAGTTTCAAGGTCATGATGAGTTCCTGCGTCTGCTGGTTATATGTTTTCATGAAATCGTTTTCCATTGAAATTTAAAGGCTTTTTCGGACGTTTCGCTTATTTTGTAGTATGTAGGTCCGTTTTTTGTCACTGGATGCTACTAGGAAGTTTATTTTTTAGCCTGCAGTTGCCAGTTTTTATGTTGGTAGTTAGGGATTATGGTAAATCTGCAATCATTGAGCCAATTCACGTATACTATGCTAATATATTAACATTCCTCAGTAAGTAAACTCCCTAACTGTTCTGCCATTGTTGGATTGAACAGTGGCAGAACAGTTACGGATTATTTGCTTAAACTGGAACTGTGCGTTGGCTAATCAGCATGAATGGCACCAATTCAGCACCTTGCTCTTCTTCTACGCATTTTCAGAAGTAGCTTATCAGCCTTATTGTAGCCCTTCTAGTCCAGGTTCTGCTCCTTCCAAGCTTACCATAATGCTGAATTAAATCTCACTAATTCTGAAATAATTCCAACGTTCTATAGTAAGTAAATTCTGAATCTGTTCTTAAATAGATTCTTTAACGGCACAGTTTAGAACTCAATTCTGGTTTTCAGCATGACTGACACTAATTCAACACCATGTTCTTTTTCTAGACATTTTCAGGAGTAGATCAGAACCTACTGGTTTTGCTTATCAGCTTTATTTAAGCCCTTTCAGCTCATTTTCAGCATGGACTAGCTTTACTTCAGAACAAGAAGACTTAATTTAGCACATAGTGGCAATTTTTTGAGCTTAAATTTGGAAATTATATTTGGAAACTATAGTACAATGTCACTGCAAATCTGTCAAGTTAGGTCCACTGGTAGCATCCTGTATTTACATTTAGAAAAGTAGGGTGGGATTTCTTGATTGGACACTAGTCAGTAACTAGTGTAATGCGTCTAGTCCTATCTTCGGTGCAGACTAAATTCCATCAGTGAAGCAGGCTTGCAGTGTGGCCATCATTCCAGGTAGCTCTCCGTCACACTGCAAATTGATTCGATGACATTAGATGGTTGGAGGCAATCGGCAGGAAGCCTCCCACCTAGGTCTCACCCTAGTTAACAGGAGGTCAGTCGCGAGCCTGAATAGCTCAGTGGTAACGTCTCTGACTGCAGTGCTCACTGGATGACGTGGGTTCGAATCTCAGATGGGGAACATGAGTTCCCTCAAGGTGGTTACAGATACGCCTTGCTGACTACTGGTGAGTGCCAACTAGCACGAAACCTAGTTTAAGCTGGACTTCCTGTCGATTGCCTCCAACCATCTAGCAGGATGGAGTTGCTAGCCTCTAGCCCAAACGTCTCTATTTACAGGCTTTTGCACCAGCTAGGCGAGGTTTAAGAGTGCATTGCCTGGGGATCGAATCCCGGACTACATGCAGTGTGGTTGATGAGTATTCCACCCCTGAACCGCTGACGTTCGGAACCACTTGCAACTGCCGGGGATCGAACTCTGAAAGGCAGCCATGATATCCACTACACCACGTTCGCAGCAGTTTTTGATAATAATAATAAAGTTTGAATCCAAGGGTCACTGAATACCTATCCAAGTGGCTGAAAGGTCGGTGAACTTGGTCTCGTAACCTCATGGTTCCGGATTTGACCCCTAATGGAGTCGAGAGAGCCTACTGCTGATGACTTCCAAACTAGAACGAAACAGCTGTTCAGTACTTCCTGATGGCTTCCAATAATCTCTCAAAATGATTTTGGTTTTTGACGAAATCCGTATTGAAAGTGATAATAATGACTTTATTCGAAACGGTACACTACAATATTCCTCCTTGAATTTCATACCTAACATTCTTTTTCATCATAGAAAATACCTACCAGATAAGGTATCGGGTATGAGGACAAATACCCGCCCCGGATGACATTGGCTAGCAGTCACGCTATGTCATGAATTGGCAGGAGTTGGAATTCATTGACTGGCCATTGGATTGGTAGGTCCCAGTGGCTTAATGGCCTACGAGCTAGCCCGCCTTGTAACCAGAAGGTACTGATTTCGAACCCCGCAGTGTAGGTGCATATTGATAAAGGGTTCCAAACTATTCTGATGAAACAGCTGGCTGTCCAGTACTCCCAGCTGATTCTCCAATGGCTCTCTCTCTCTCTCTCGATGTCAACTCATGTAACCAATCAATCAATATCCCTACAAATCAATACTTGAAAAGGTATTGTTCAGTTTGTAGATTTCGTCGTTAGAGCATGAAGTCTCTTATATTTATTACTTCTAGTCTTGTCTGAGGAGATTTGTGAGTAAAGAGGGTGTTCAGAGTCCGATAAGCCGATTGATATTCGCCAATTTTTTTATTTTGATAAATTCAAGTGTCTGTCTACAAACTCCACTCATCCTACGGACGACTTTTAGTGCCCTTCACAATGTAGCAAAGTCTTTCTTAAGTAGTTCAGGAAAGATTAAGCGGAAGTAATAAAGGGGATTAAATAGAATACAAGAATTAACAAATTGTAACAGTAGAGACTGAGCGTCGGTGGCACAACGGGATTCGATTCCCATCCAAAGGACGCACTCCTTTACCTCGCTAAACCAGTAATAAGACTGGTAAAGAATGAAGGTCGCTCATGAGGCTAGCAACCTCATCCCATAGAAATAAACACACGACTGCTACCGAAACTTCAAGCTTGTAGTTTGAAGCCCTATGTTCCACTGGGAATGTACAGGAATTCTGTTTATATCATTAAAGTAACTCAGTATATCAAATGCCATATCGAAGTGTTCTAAATACCACCGGGCGGCCATTTCTCTCGTTCGGGGCGGAGCTAATCAGTAGTGTACCCGGTATGACTCAGCTCAGAGATGCGAATTTCAGCTACCTACCTACCCGGGTGAACTGGCAACATAGAATTGAATCCTCCACTCCAGTTTCACTAGTAAGCACGACTACGTGATATGGGTTGCTCGCAACTACCCAACCTACTCGCTTCAACCAGTAGCATATGCCAAGACAACTTACAGTTTTCTAACTGACGTCAGCTCGCGACTGATCCCATAGCCAGTCAAATCCCTGCAAACAAACACCTGATAATTATACAACTGGTTCCCTTGATAAATTTCGATGAAGAAAGGAAGACGAAATTTCCAGTATAAAATGATATCATTCTATTTCACAGGTTCTCATCAGCTGCAGACTACCTGAAATTACAATGGTTATATAAATGATAATAACATACTTTCATGTTTGATTAGTAGTAGACAAGAGATAAAATTGACGCATCCAAAAAAGAATGAAAGCATTACAATTTTTAGTTTAAGTTATCATCATCAATTTATACACTTTCAGAGTTGGAAAGAGGGGGTAGGGGTAAGACAGAAAATAGAAAAATTGATTAACAGAAACAGTGTTAGCTTGTAGGTTCACATGGCAACTCCAAAAAACAAAAGCATTTACAGTTTATAAGATTGAGATTTGCTCAGTGAGTTGAGATCACTGAATTAGATGACTAATCAAAATCAAAATTCAGTTACCAAGGGAGTGAGAGGTTAATTACACTCTCTTTCTGTATGCATAAGTCTGGTTTAAATCGTTTGATTGCGATCGCTTCGGCAAATCTTAGTAAATTTGCTGTCCTTTGTCTATTTAATATTTTGAAGGACTTAGAGATCTTTACGAGATGTCCGGTATCAACAATATGTCTGGTAATTGCACTCTGAGAATATTTGCTTCCTTTCAGGAACAGGTTTCTTGGAATATGTTCAGAAAACCGGATAGAAGCCCTTCTTTCTGTCCTTCCAATGTACTTGCTCCCGCAAGTGCACGTAAATTCATAAACGCAGTTGGAGGTGACATCAGCAGGGTATTTATCCAGTTTTGAGTTGATCATGGAAGGAGTGGTGTTGTATACTGTTATGAGTTTTGCTGCCGGGAAGCTTCTATTTATTGCTCCTTTCAGTCTTCTGTCAATCTTTTGTGAAGCTGCATCTCCTTTGAATGGGAGACAAATAAATACTTTTTTCTTTTCTACAGTTGGATGCTTTTCTTTCTTATCTTTTTCTCTGCTATACTTCTGTATAAATCCTTTAGGATATCCGTTTTCCCTCAGGCATTTCTCGACGAAATCTAGTTCTTCTTCGACCTTGTTTGGTGAACATAGCTTCCTAGCTCTGTCGTACAAAGTCCTCACTAATCCACGTTTATAGCTTATGGGACAAAAGCTGTTATAGTGAAGATATTGTCCAGTCCAGGTTTCTTTTCTATAGATGGACTTTTCGATCACGCCTTCGTTTGTTCTTTTTACATTTAGATCCAGGAAATTGAACTCATTTTCATGTTCATATTCCATGGTGAACTTGATATTTGGATGAATCTCATTTAGGCGATCATATAATGCCGATGCGTGATCCATGTCGTTGCAAACAACAAATGTGTCATCAACATATCGGCGATAGTAGTTTGTTCCATTGATAGCAGAACTTAGTTGTGTCTGTTCAAGGTAGCCCATGAAGATATCAGCCAGGATAGGTCCCAGAGGTGAACCCATAGCGACCCCATCAATTTGCTGGTAGAGTTGATTGTTGAATTTGAATTGAATATCTTTTGTGCAGAGCAGCAGTAGTCGCTTCATCTCTGTTTCCGGTAACGGTAGTAGATCCGTTTGTTTACAAATGATATCAATCGTTTCCATCAGTGGTACGTTTGTGAACAAGGAGGTCACGTCATACGACACCATGAGTTTGTCTGATATGTCAATGTTGTCAACTTCCTTGGAGAATTGGTAGCTATCCTTCAGGCTATGGGTTGCAAATTTAATTCGAATTGGCTCTATGGAATCAGCTAACCATCGAGCTAACTTGTGGCATGGTGAGTCAGTCATTGACAAGATTGGTCTTAAAGGCACGTTTGCTTTATGGATTTTTGGTAGGCCGTACATAGACGGCAGGCGTCCACCCTTTGACTTCAGTTTATTGTATGTTTCGTTGTTGATTAGTTTCTTCATTAGAAGTTCTTTGAGACATTTGTTTACTTTATTTTCAAACGACGTTGTGCCATCTTTTTTGTTGTCTACTTGGAATTTTTCTTTGTCGTTTAGAACTGTCATCATTTTATGAATATAATCAGCTTTGTTCATTATAACAACCCCAGAGCCTTTATCAGGTCTAAATATGACGATTTCATCGTTCTCATATAGTTTCTTCAGAGCCATTCTATGCTCTTCGGTCAGCATCTTTTGCTTCTCCATTGGCGATATGTGGTATTGGTTAGCAATATCAACAAGTTTAGACTTTAGCCATCCTCTTTTATCTTCGTCTAAGGGTTTCAGGTCGTGGAGTTGATGGTATAAGTGTTCGAATTGTGCTTCTGTATCTATACGACTGATCTGCTTCTTGGGAACGTGAAACTTGAATCCTAGAGATAAGGCTTCTAATTCGATTTTGTTGAATTGTAATTTTGATAGATTACAGACGTAGCGTTCAGGTGATTCTGGGAATTCTTCGATTAGCTTCTCTTTCACCAACGCTTTTGTCAGCTGAGTTTCATAATCCTTGGATGTTTTTGATTGTAGCTCTTTGATAAAATTCATGAATTTTAGCCAGCAAATAATATTAAGCTCGCTTAGTAGGGTATCATAGGTAGCCAGACGAGATTTCAATTCGGAGAGGTACTGGTATGAGGATTCGATGTGAGATTTTGTTATTCGACGGAGATTCTTTTGGGAAGGTGGGAGTTTAGCCGATCGCACTTGTTTCAGGAACTGCCGTGGGAAACAACCTGTTTGCAAACACTGTTCATAGAACCTGATCTTTGTTGATTCTCTAGATATTCTGCATCGAATGGTCACCACCTGATTCAGTGACTTAATAGTTTTGGCAGGGAGGCGTCTTTTTAAGAACTTCATACAACTGGTTCCCTTGATAAATTTCGATAAAGAAAGGAAGACGAAATTTGCAGTATAAAATGATATCATTCTATTTCACAGGTTCTCATCAGCTGCAGACTACTTTAATGTTTGATTAGTAGTAGACAAGAGATAAAATTGACGCATCCAAAAAAGAATGAAAGCACTGAAATTTCAGGTAGTCTGCAGCTGATGAGAACCTGTGAAATAGAATGATATCATTTTATACTGCAAATTTCGTCTTCCTTTCTTTATCGAAACCTGATAATTAATCTGATTCTCACCAGTGACTGGCCCTGTACAGGAAGTTACCTGAGGTTCTAGTGATAAGTGCTAACCAGTGGCACCCACCAAGTCAGGCAAGGGGACAATTACTCGCCTGTGACAGTGGCTGGAGATTGAGCTAAATATATGTCACGAATTGGCGGGAGTTGGAATTCATGGCCCATTGTGTTGGGTCCTAGTGAGTGAATGGTCTATGAAGTCGCCTCGTAAACGGAATGTCCTAGGTTCGAACTTTGGTGGATGAATGCAGTAGAAGAGTTCTAGACAAGGACGAAACAACTATCCAGCTCGTGATCAATCCTGTAATATCAAATATTAGTAAATAGTTGTTCTAATTTTATATTTTCTGTTTCTCTTAATTTAGAACAAAATGGAAACGTCAAACAGCAGTTGGTCTTGAACTGATGGCTGAGGCGGGAAATTTTGTCGCTGTCCAACGTCTTGTTGAACAAAGTCCATTTTGGGCATATCATCCAACTGTTAGATATATTTTATCCAATATTGATTTTATGCATTCATCTTCACTGACGTCTTCGACACTGAAGACAACAACAACACCGACGGCAATGCCAGCAAATACAATGACATCTGCAATAACAACATCAACAATACCAGCCATAATCACGCCAATGCCTACAGTGACAGCATCAGTTTGTCAGAGTTTGCCTACTTCTCTTTCCAAATTGCCAATACCAGCACCATCGGAGATGTTAGTACCAAGAACAACAACAACAACACCACCAGAGATTAGAACAAATGAAATATTGAAGTGTTTCAACACTGCTGATCATTATCAACAGACACAGTATTCTTGTTACATGACGTTGGACAAACAGACTAAAGTTCCTGAGAAGTTAACCACACCAGTGACAATGATAACAACGTCAGCGTCGAATCATATACAAGAGAGATTAGGTATTAAATCATCGTCAAGTGGTACTAGTGGTACTGCTTCTATCATAGTCCCTTCTCTCGCATTAACTCCACCCTCTTATTCAAAAACGATTGTTTTAGGACAGCCAGATATTAGGCGACAATTATTACATCCATCTAGAGTTTCATGGTCATCTAATCATCCTAGTTATTATTATTATCATCATAACCATCAGTGTCAGTCTCGTGGATTACATCAAAAGACAGTTAATGTTCATAATCCTTTATTGTCGATTAAATCTTTGGAACAGTCATTTCCTGGAGATCAATCACATTTACATCCAGCTCAGTCGTCGATTTTATCATCGCCGTCATCGTCATCACCATCCTCCTCCTCTTCTGCTTCTTCGAAGTCATCAGCGGTGTCATCGGCGCCTGTAGTCGTGGTGGTAGACAGAGCAGCATCAACTTCATCTTCTTCGACTTCTGTTATCTCACCGACAGATGATAGCGGTACACACGAGATGTGATAACAGATTATCTTATTACTTGGAGTAATTTCACTCTCTCTTTCCCTCTTGATTTGCTCATTTATTCATCTTTGCTTTCAGCTTCTCGTTGTGTGTGTGTGTGTGCATGTGATCGGGATCAAAAATACACGATTAGAAACCGTTTGAATCAATTTTGATTTTGTAAATAAGTAAAGTAGAAAAAATAAAATCACTATTGCTCTAATTATTATTCCCTTTCTCTACGTTTGTCCCTGTCTTCCTAAAATTGAAGCGCGACACGCTGTTATCCATTCGAGTCCTACTGGAGGGTTCAGCTAACGCGTGACTCACCTCAGTGGCCCTCCTCAGCATATGTCCAATCCGTATCCATTTCATTCAGCAAATTTTTTACACAGTAGGTTCGGTGTTGGTGCGTTGATATGATTCCTTGTTGCTGATCTTATCCAGTAGGCTAGTTGATCTTAAGTGTGAAACGAAGTGAGGGGGGGGGGTTGGGTGTAGCATGTTGGAAATGCCTCTCATGATACACCCGACATTAGTGCTGAAAATCCAAATTTTGTCCCTCTTGTTGAGGGTAGTAGATTTCTACACTGATTCCGGTCAACTTCGGCATCCTCATCTGTGGCGCCTGTAGTTGAAACGATTCTGGAAGTGGTAACGTCTTTTATATTTCTCCTCCTTTGTGGTGATTGTTGCTTGTTGTTTGCCCATCTTTGTCTTTCAATTTGGTCGTCTGAAGAATAATTCTAGATGGTATTGGGTAGTTGATTTTCATGGATAATTATGTATACTTTTAGAATCAGTTGATGAGTTTTAAACCGGACGAAACAGGTGAATGTGAAGACTAACAACGGAATATAAAGTGTTATATTTCTGTAGTAGTCTATTATCAGTCGGATCCCAGTTCTTCATGACTTTTTCTAATTTCTTTGCCGTCTAAGTGGAACACAGGGATTCAGGCTTCAGCTCCGAATTTTCAGTAACAGTGATGTTATTTTATGGGGTGAGGTTTGCTAGCCTCATGCCCGCTTTTCCCTCTTTACCGACCTTAACAGCTGAGAGGCTTAGGTGTGAGTCATTTGGAGAATGCAGCCCGGACCATGTATGTGGTTGGTGGGACGCATGACTTGTCCATAGTGAATACTATTCTCAGTGGGAACACCATCACACATGGAGTTTAGGGTATATTCCACTCTAAGCGCAGGAAACTAATCAATACTTTCTACTTCTTCTTCTCCTTCATGGTTTGACAAGCTTCCATGTGTAATGCACAGTTGAGAATGACATTCCAGCAGTATCAAAACGCGATTGAGCTTGATAGAATTTGTAGCACTATCAAGAATAATAACTTATGGTCAGTTGGTAGATGTGACTAGCAGTGGAATCCAGAGTGCTCATCTCGTCCTATTTGGGACTCATCATCTAGAAGCACCCAAATTCCCCAGTGAGTGACTGATGGTGTTCTCACTGGAGCTCGAACCCAGTGCCCATAGTTTCATACGCCAAAGCGTTATCCACTAGACCACTTGGGCCACGTCAACTACTTCTTCTGCAACAGGTCTTGTTGATTGGACAGAAATGCTTGGTCTCAGGTCTTAATAGGGAATGCATCTACATCCAGCTACAGACCGGTCCCAAATAGGACGAAATGCGCCTTTATCCTGGATTCCACTGCTAGTCACCATCCATCAGCTGACTTCAAGTTACACGACTGGACATCGTCGAAGCATCTGCACAAAGAGTCGATATGTCAACCTGAGATCGAGCACTTAGATTAAAAATGAAAAACCAACTGAACAATGTCATCCGTCGGCTATCCTATCCAAAAGTTTTTTAGGTGAAAAAAAGAGTAATGTAAAATAAGATAAAAAACTGATTAAACATAATGTTCCATTCACTGGGAATGAATGAGAATATTCCCAACACGATGGGGTTAAAACTGTGTCTGCAAGAATCAAAGGGAACAAAACACGCTTCTCTCAGACAGTCGAAGGTTAGGCAAGCAGTTACACCATGTCATAACCTATAATTTATTCAAGCTAAATCATAAAACATAAAATTTGCTCTGTAGATACGATCGACTTAGAATTAGAAAGCCTTCGTACAACTCTCTTGAATAATGGATATCCTAGAAGGTTTATCGACAGAAACATCAAGAAAGAAACAGTCCTTAGACAAATCACGGTGCCAAAGAAGACACTGTATATGAGTGTTTAGCTTTCAAAGGTTACAGTATTTCTGAAGTCATTAAAAGTTGTTTATCTAAATGTATTAAACGGTGGCTTAATGCAGCTGACTTACACATTTTTTATTTACCAGCCGGAACATGATTCGTCTGTCTGTCTATTTTCAACATAGAACTTTGCACCAATGTGCAGCAGTCTGCGTCGCCACACTCCGTGTAGAACACAAAGCAAGAAAAGAAATGCAAAATGGAGACAGTAAACAGAGATATGAGGCAAAGAGAATTGTAATATCGAAGTACAATATAGTTTTATTGGAAATCACAAGTCACAAGGAGTGGATGCATCTGCGCCATTGAGAACGATTTTGAGCCATATCATCAGTTGTCTCCAGCCATTGGTGTTTACCATCCCGAGGACCCCAACCAGGAAGTCTACATCTTCCTAAGTGACAGGCTTAAACTAACTGTTGTGGATTTCATTGACTGATGAAGCCATGTTTTGGTTTGACCACCACTAACATTGCCCATCGAGGAAGGCAATCGATGGCTAGGCGGATATGCGTAACACATGTCCTAACCATCTCAATCAATGTAACTTCACAGCCTTGTCGATTGACTTCCCCTCCCTCTTTACCTAGCACTCGAAGCCTATCCTCAATGTTGCTCACCGTATTATACCATTTCATACGGGAGATGGAATGCAGGCACCTATGATCAAAGATAGCTAGCTGGCCTTTTCATGTCTTCTACTCTCAGTGGCCAGGAGACATGATTCGACAATGCGTCAAGGGTAAACTACCGCTAATGTTCACCTCTATGTGTATCTATTCTCATTGACATTCTCGAGTGAAGCTGATTACATTGGACGTTGTAAGCGTGTTCTCCGTAAACGTGTGGCTGAACAATACCCGGTTTGGTCAATAAAAGGTGAGTAAAGGACGACAGTTGGGGTCGAGTCATTCAATCCCACGTGATTTATCCTTTAAAGTTATTCACAGGACCGAAACCAATCACTCTGAAAGCTTAGATATGCAACCGTTAGAACGATGATATGCATGCAGGTCAGGGATAAATGGGTAGTAATCACAAAACTAGTTGAAAAATTCAAATAAGTATCATTATTTTGACTGGACACTAGTCAGTAACTAGTGTGATGTGTCTAGTCCTTTCTTTCCAATGTGGCCACTATTATAGGTAGCTTGCCATCAAGGTGTACATTGATTTGATGATATTAGATGGTTGTAGGCAATCGGCAGGAAGCCTTGGACACCACCTAGATTTCGTGCTAGTTGGCATTCGTCAGCAACATTGAAGGAACTCATGTCTTTTCAAATACGCCTTACTGACGAGTGACAACTAGCACGAAATGTAGGTGGTGTCCGAGGCTTCCTACCGATTACCTTCAACCATCTAATATCATCATGTATCATTATTGTGGATAGATCATTCATTGGGTGGGGGTGGGTCGGGGATTTGTACATCAACTTCGGCTGAACATATACAAAACAGAGGTGATGGAGATTCCTTGGCAACACCACCAACAGCAACAACGACAACAACAGACAGCAATCAGTATAAATGGAAGGAACCTGAAAGAAACAACCTCCTTCACCTACCTACCTAGCTGGGAAGCATCGTTTCAGCTACAGGCGGACGAAACTGATAAGGATATCAAAGCAAGGATCGGGAAAGCAAGACAAGCTTACATTACTCTCAAGTCTGTATGGAGGTCAACATCACTCAGCATGAAAAATAAGATCCGGATCTTCAACTCCAATGTGAAGTCAGTGCTACTATACGGATCGGAGACTTGGCCAGCGCGTCATAAAGAGCATCTCAAACAAACCACAGACCTTCATTAACAGTTGTCTTCGCTCAATACTCAAGATCAGATGGCCAGAAAAGATCAGCGACAGGGATCTCTGGGAGCGAACCAACCAGGAACCGATTGTGAAACAAATAGGCAGGAAGAAATGTAGGTGGATTGACCGTACTCTGAGGAAACCATCAAGTGACATCACAAGACAAGCCCTCGAATGGAACCCGAAAGGGAAGTGGCGAGTTGGTCGTCAGTGCAATGGTGGCTTGGACGAGGTCCTGTGGAGAGGAGATGAAAGCATGTGGGCAGACTTGGAGCCGGGTAAAAACTTTAGCAGAGAACTGAATGCAATGAAGACGTTTGGCTGAAGCCCTATGTTCCTCTAAGAATTAAAGGAAATAATAATAATAATTCTGCTACCCACTGGGAGGTGGTCATTTCGATATAGGACGAAACTTGGGCAGTAGATTGCACTGCTAATTCTTTATATTTTTCTACTAAGTCATTTAAATGAATGGGGGGTGGGGAAAGCGAGTTAAACTATAGCAACCAGTCAGGTGTATAACTTTCAATAATTACTTAGAGTTAAAGATTGTATAATTACATCAAATTATGCCATCTGTTCTGGAGTTAATTGAACAACTTCCAAGAAGATTCAGTGTCTGATTGCTCTGTGAATAATACATTAAGTGAAGTTACTTAAACAGCACTTCAACAGCTATATGATAATGCCACGTGTCAGGTGATCCACAACGGGAAACTCAGTGAGGCGTTCGAATTGAATACAGGAGCAAGTCTAACCTGGTTGTCTATTATCACCGATGATATTCTTGATTTTGGTGGGCTGGATTATGCGTCAGACTATGTGCGGAGAGCGAGGAGGCAGGAGTACGCTGGACGACCGATAAGAAGACTCTAGAAGATCTCGACTTCACACGTGGATGATATATGTCTAATGTCACACAAACTCGAAGACTCACAGGCAGGCGAAAACCAACACACTGGTTGAAGAAG